GTCTCTCTGGCAAGATGTTCTGCTCCTGAATCAGCTGGGTGGGTCTTGCGTCTAGCCTCTTTGCAGAGAGTTCTGCTGAAGGGTTCCTTTCTGGGCTTGCACACTGGGTCGAATGAAGATCCATGGGCCCTGGTGGGCTCTGGTAGGCCCCGGGTCGTCTCACTCACTCGCTGGGCCTGGGCTCTGGGTCTATTCAGGATCCCACGGCCCCAGGTCGTCTCACTCCTCTTTCAGGTTCTTACACTAAGGAGACAATATATTCTCTTTAAAAAATAAAAAGGAAACAGTCAAAAATATTGTAGTATAAAAAGTTTTCAGGAGTACAAAAAAAGTTGAAAGTGCTACATGCTGAATACCCATTTCTACCACCTTGTTAAAGCTCTGAAATAATTCCTCAATCACAGGTATATTTGTCTGCTCATTCCTCTGAATGTACAAGATACATTTTTATAGTTTCTACCTTTCTATTCAGAGCAATCATGAAAACCTGAAAAAAACACCCATTGATAAATACATATATGCCTATATAACATCATATATACACTCGTTTTTTTTTTGTTTGTTTGTTTGTTTTTTTTTCCTTCTGGTAAGCTGTGCTAACAGATTCTTTTTTATAGAATTGAAGAGGAAGAATGGGATAAATTCATCATCCCTGCGAAATCAGAGTCTGAAAAACATAAAGTGAGTCGAACGTTTAGTTTCCTCATGAATAGGATGACCAGCCCTCGGAATAAATCCAAGGTAATTAAGATGTTCACCTTAATTCCTAGGAAGCATAGATGGTTTCATTTCAGAGACCTATATGATTTCCACTTTTCTTTAAAATCACTTTCCTTAGATTTAATCTATACCTTAGATAGTATTTTAGATTGTGTTTTACCTTAGATCGAATATATCTTTTTTTTGTGACTATTGTCCAACTCATTGGAAATAGTAGGATAGCCACCACTTGGGGGGCAGTTCAGTGCTTTGCAATTGCCTTGCTCCTTGATGTGCAGGCCTGATGTTTCCGAAGGAAAGGGAGAGAGTTTGTTGGCTCTTAAGGCTTCTGTAAGACGATTGGAGGGGCTGGGGAGATAGCTCAGTAGAGGGCCTGAGTTTAATCCCTGGTTCTGCAAAAAAAAAAAAAAAAAAGATTGGCTCATTCATTTCCCCTTTTCTATTTCCCTCTACCTTTCTGCCGCTGCCGCTGTTTCTGAAGATGAAAAACAAGGATGCCAAAGACAAGGAGAAGCCGAATCGACATCAGTTTGTTCCGGGAACACTGTCTGGTGTTCTGCAGTGTGTGGCATGTGATAAGACACTCCTGGGGAAGGAGTCACTCCAGTGTTCTAGTAAGTTCTTGGGCTTACTAATGGCTTTTGTTTCTCCAACCAGATCCCTGAAGCTAGGCTCTTGCTAGCCACATTTTTGTAAACTTGCTGTGTAGTGCTGTGAATGTATTTGGAACAATGTATGGTGCAGTGGCTGATACTGGATAGAGTTAGGGCTTTGTGTCCATGATGGATAGTAGCCCTGTGCCCCAGGCCTGTCTGCTTCTCTGCTGTTACAGTCAATTAGATGTCTGTGTAGCATTGCCACTGTTACAGGTCTCAGACTGAACCCTTAATCACCCCCCGTGGCATCTATAAGCTGATGCTCTCAGATAATGACAGCTCTGTCATTCCAGCCAAACAGTCATGCCAGACACTGGAGTATTTGTGTATACCTCCTTTCTTGCACATTCTACATCTGGCCCTGTGTAATCCTTTTGGTGCTATCTTCAAAATGTATACAGAACCTTTCTCTTATCCCCTCTGCTTACATCTAGCTGGTCTAATTTACTACTTCACCTTCATTCCAGTTGGTGTCCTTGTTCTTCAACCCACTAAAGTGTGTTCTCAAAGCATCTGCTTGCATGTGTTCGTTAAGTCATAGATCTCCGAATTCCAGGCCTTTCAGTGGCTCCCTGTGTCTTCCAAGAGGAGACCAAACTTTACTGTAGCTGCAAGGCCCCATGGGGACTGCTCTGTCTTCCTCCTCCCCCTTATTGCCTCTTCTCTGGCCACACTGGTGTCTTTGCTGTTCTTCCAACATGCCAGGAGTGCTCCTGTCCAAGTGTCCCTGAGCATCCTCTCTGCCTGCAGAAACCTTTGCACAGCTGGCCACATGGATCACTGCATCAGCACCTTCAGAGGGAGGCTTTCCTGGTCACCTTCCTGGCTTGCCCTTTATTTCTTCCCTTTATTTCCTCCCCAGTGTATTTGCCACCGTCTAATTTACTACACACTGTACCTATGAATTTGATTGGCTACCTTCCTCATAAGTTCCATCAGCCTGGATCTGCCTTTGTTGGACGTGTTCTCTGCTGTGCCCACGGTAGCCTGAGCAATTCCTTAGAGCAAGTGCTTAGCAAATATTTGTTGAATCAAAGAATAATTCAGAGACAAAGAATTCATGCGTAGGCATTGGATTTCACAGCACTGATTGGCAGCTGTAATTGGGGGGAATGTTTGGGAGGCAGGATGGGATCACAAACAGGAATGCAGAGCAGAAGGCGTTCGTACAGTACCCCCAACTTAAAACATTGAAGAATTTCAGCGCGCTTATAGTTGTGTATCTGATGAACATACTGGCTGCCTATGGCATTGATGATTGGCTGTTGTTCTGGCATTAAAGGCCAGTAGACTGGTGCTGTCATTAATGTTGTCAACTTTATTGCATGCTTGACCTTGGCTTCCCCTGAAGATTTTTTTCTTTTATGGGATCTGAAATTAGCACCATACCATTCAGATGTGATTTAATTTTCGTGTGCATGTGTGCATGCGTGCATGCGTGTGTGTGTGTGTGTGTGTGTGTGTGTGCGCACGTGCTGAGAGTCAATCTCAGGGCCTCAGGCATGCTATGCAAACACTGGAGCACTGAGTCACAAGTTCTTCATTTGGTAAATTTTTTAGAAATTTGCTGTAAGTATTGTTTGTGGTTGTTCCTGGCGGCCCACATTTCAGCAGTCAGGTCGTCGGCATGGTGTGTGTGTGTGTTTCATAGCTTGTCGTCTCACTGTTTCCGTAGGTCTGTATCCCTTCAGCTGTATGTACCTCCAGCCACAACCAAGATCTTTTTGCCTATACTTTAGCTCTTAATTCTCCATTCACTGTGTGCTGTTCTGCTCCGATCCTTCTTCACTAAGCATTTGTGTTTTGGCCGCTGTCCTACCTAACAGAAACCCAGCTTAGGGAAAGCTTGGGTCACTCTCTGGTTGACCCAGGCAGCCTTTCCTCCAGCCTCAGGCTGACGTCTTCTTCAGCAGCCCCTTTTCTCCTCTCCCCGGCACATGGCTGTTCTGTGTTCCTGCCTGTTGGGCCTCTTTTCCTAATCCCAAGTGCCTTCCGAGTTCTAGGGCTTTTATTAATTTTCCCCTTACTGTTTCGAAGTATCTAGGCCTACATAGGATATTTTAAAATATGGATGATCTTCCCTGTGTAGATGCTTTCCCGTAGGGTTCATCCCTGTACCCCTTTTACTTCCACATTTCCGCCTGTTTAGAGGTGGAGGACCGTGTCATGTAGGGTCACTTTTGAGAGTGACAGTATAATGACAGCACTGAACTAAGACTGCCACAGGCATATTGGTTCCTAAGTGATGCTGTATACAGGCATCTTCATCCAAAGACTCCATTGTCTCTGAAGCCCACATGTCTCAGGCCAGCCTCAGAATCCATACACAGAATGTCACGCTCCTTACTACACACCTGAGATAGTGGCGTGCAGGACAAACTTTGGTCCCTGTGAATCTGCTTTCCTCTGTCCATGCCTCCAGTGTCATTTATTCACTTTTTCCTTTCCCCTCTCCCTGTGGCCAGCTGCACCTGAACTGCATTAGTTTCTTCCTGCCATGTCTTTAAACCACCATCTAGGATGCAATCTATACCGCTGCTGACATGTAAAATGCCACTTTCTTCAGCTCACGTGAACTCCGGCTTCTCTGCTTGGGCGAGCCACACCCAAGCTCTTTAGTGGGTCTGGTTCCTCATCCGGGACCTACTCACTGGTTCCACTCTTGCCTCCTCCACAACAGCAGACAGCTTGAATCTTGCTGGTCCGAGCATTCTCACCCATCTCTGCCTGTTCCTTCCATCCCTGCTGTTTAGTTTATGATAATCTCTTCTGTCTGCTTTCTCCATTCCTGGCATAGATGCAAATCTTCTGCCTCTTCTTTGAGGTCTTCCTTGACCACTGTGGTCAAATTCTTTTTTTCCCCATAATATTATTGAGAAACAAATAGCAATGAGTTAGTTTCAAACCAAATTGGTAGGAGAGTTTCAATAATTAACACATTGCATACATTCTTCCTAATGGTTAATTGCTGTACAAGATGTGGACATGATATCCTATTTACACACCATTAGAACAAATCCCTCTATTCCTTAAGAGAATGTAGCTATGTATCTATCCTAACCATTTTGAATACTGTGGTCAAATTCTTGTCTGGTATTTTTATGATCTGTATAGACTTTATTGTATTCTCTTTAATCAGGTTATACATAACCTCTCCACATTTTCACTACTAGAGCAGGACCAGTCTTTTAAGGGTGCTTGTCATATGTTGCTCTGTGTAGCTCTTCCAGCAGCCATTGTGAAGCTGGCCCTTAGACACTTGTGCTAGTACGTGACCGACAAAACTGGGGCCAGGGATCCCCGAACAGGAAACTTTTGTCCTCAATCAGATATCAGTTAATACTGAGTTAATGGATTATAATGAAGGTTGCAGTGGAAGTTGGAAATTCTTGGAAGTACCTAAGGTATATTTAAAGCAGTTAAAAAAAAAAAAAACAGTAAAGCAGATATTACTTTAAAAACTGTATTAGAATTCATAGGCAATACACAGCTTAAGGAAAAGCTTTATCTTAAATTTTACCACATAGAGAAAATTGCTGTTAGTATTTTGACAAAGTCCCTGCTAACCACAAAAATATTACATCCACTTACAATGTTAATATTTCATTTGATCGTGGTTTCAGATGTGTTTAGTTATTTCTTATTGTACATTTAAGTTTCCTCCTGAGTTTTCACAGGGTAAGTGAGCATTCCTATGAACATATTCCGTTCCACATCTTTGATTATTCCTTTAAATTCCAGAATCAGTATTTGTGGGTCGAAGTGTACATTTGATGTTTTTCTTCAACCCACAACTTTTTAATAAATTATTTTTAAGGTTTACAATTTTTTTTCTTTTGACATAGGTACTGGTGACTTAAGCTGTGCTTTTAAATTTTAAGTTTTTACATTGAGTAAATGGGGTGTAACATGGGCAGTCTCTGTTGTTGCAGGTTGATAATGGTAATCCATCAGTGTGTTATTAGTTTTAATTATGAATGTTAAAATTTCTGATCTTAGTAACATGAAATATGGAGCAACAGACAATATAAATATTACATTTCCTAGGTTCTTTTTCCTTTGGTAAACTTTTGTTGCTAAGTTTTTCTTTTCTTTTTTCTTTTTCTTTTTTTTTTTTTTTTGTGGAACCGGGGATTGAACTCAGGCCCTTGCGCTTGCCAGGGAAGCACTTATTCTACTGAGCCATCTCCCCAGGCCCGCTAAGTTTTTCAAGAATAAAATTTTCCTTATTTTTAAGTAGGTTTAACTGTTTATTTGAATATTACATTATCTCTTACAAAATCTCTACCTTCGTTGCATATTTAACTTTAACCAACATAAAATTACTCCTTAATGTAATTCAGTGTCCTTTGCATTGAATTTTACTCTACCTTTTCACTTTTCTTTTCTTTCTTGGTATTTCATTTATCTATTTCTGTGGTTTCAATTGGGGGTGTGTGTCTTTGATTTACCCAGAGGTAAGCTGTACTGTAACTGGAAGATCTTGCTTTAGAACAAGGGGTTTATCTTATTTACGTTATTTTCACTGCTTCCAACTGTCTTTTATAGTTTCTTGCTGTTTTCCTTGATGTCTGGCTCAGCTATTTGAACCATGTGTTGCTTGCTTTTATCTTCTCATGTGATTTGATCCGATAGGCTCTTTTAATACCTACTAATGATAGCTTTAAGGCTGTGGAAAGCCAATAATTTAGTGCTCTTTCATTTTCCTTATGTTTACAATTCTCCTCTAGCCTCTGTTAATTATCATTACTGTATTCTTTTTCTATATTTGTTTAATCTTTTAAAACTAATTTTATATTTTAAGAAAAACGTGATTTTTTTTTTTTTTTCAGCTGTGTCTCTACTTAGAATTTTTAGATTTGCTGCTTTGTCTCCTTGGTCACTTTTGCTCTTTTTAAAAAAAATGACAGCCAAGCTATTCATTCCTTCATTTTGATTCTGCTTGGCATAGTCTAGAATAGAATTGATCTGATCTCTGAAACCTTTTGTAACGGAGGGTATATTTTTGCCTCTTTCACACAAAGGAGACAGCTTACTTAGCTAAATAAAAGTTGGGACCAAAATCTTCAGGGGTCCTGTCTCCACATTGGGCCAATATACTTGGGGCAGGGGGGCACCTAGGATTATAGCGGGGGGAGAGTCTGGGGTTTATCTAGCTTCACTCCTTTGTTAATAGACTCCTTTTTTTTATTAAATGCTTGGGAATTTTTAAATTTTTAATCATTTGAATTTTGTCAGAATGTTATCTATAGAATAGGAGTCATTTAACTATTTTTCTCAAAAAGCACTGAGACTTTTTGGTCTGTCCTTTGAGGGACGTTTTTCATCTGTACAACATTTTTGTCTATTGTAGCTTTGACCACTATTGCTTCTGATCTTATTTTTCTCATTTATTTTTTGGAGAAATGTGGTCTCTGGTAGCTGTCTTTTTGTGTGACATCTTCGCTTTTATAATTGTACCCTTTGTCCTTGCCACATTCTGGAGGGAATCTTTCAAGTTTAATTTCACAGCGCTGCTTTGATATTCCTGTTACCCAGATCTGCCTTAATTTGGCTTACAGTCAGCTCTTCCCCTTGGCCTTCTCGAAGTCCCTCCTCTCTCACAGAGCACCATTTCCCTCTCATCCTGTTGACCTATTTCATATCCCGTTCTCCCTTCATGGTCTTTGGTCCTATTCTATTGAAGTCCTACCTTCCATCTCTCATTGAAAACATAGTTTCAATATCTCCACCTTTCTTCTGCTTTTGGATCTCATAATTCCTGTGAGTTTCCATTGTAACTTAGTTCTATGGAATCTCATAGAGTACACTTTTCATTTTCCTTTCATTTGCTTGTTCAGGAGTAGAAAGAGCTGTTGGATTTTGACAGTCACATTGACCCTGCTTCTTGGCCCCTGGGTGTTGGCTGAAATGACCTGCAGCCGGTGGGCAGTTTTGGGTGTGGCCTTGAACCCAAATTGCAAATGATCACTGGCTTTTATCCATGATGGTGCCCATTTGCCATGATGTGGTCTTCTAGTGCATGGAAAGGCTTCTTCTCAAGAATTTTCTGATACACCCTGGGGTCCTCTGGCAGGGGTGAAGCATATGAGTGGGTAGAATGAGGGCAAGCTATGGAGGCAAGAAGGGGAGAGGAAAAGATGGGCCTGGTAGAAAGCAGTTCTCACATGGCATATGCACTGAGAGCCTGGGTGTGTGTGGTGGGAGGATGGACAGGAAACTTGCTCTTCCCTTTTTCCACTGAGATGGAGCCATGTAGTTGCTTTAGGATATAACACATAGGCAACCAAATGGCTAACTTTTCTCACTGAATGTGGCTACCTTCCATGGCTACTTAATCAGAGTCTGCTGTTGGAGTTTGGTAGCTCATTCCTCCCTGCCCTCTCCTGAAGCCTTGCTGTCTTTCTTTCTGTGATCCTAGAATTCAACCTGGTTGGGGCTCAGCCAGGTGTCAGAACTCCCTCACCATAGAATGCATCCCATAGAAAGTGAGTTTGCAGGCAGAGACAGAAACGGGTATTGTGTATCATTTCAGGGTTCATGGCTGGTAAAATAATTTCAGGAAATAAAAAATATCTCCGAGGAAATAAAAATTCCAACAATGTGCTTGCACTCAGGTGGAACTACGTGTGATTTAAGTATTTGTCTTTCCTTAGGCTTTCTAACTATTTGTAACAGTTACAATATTTTTAAAGACCAGCAAAAGCAGAATAAAATGAATGCTTCTGAATCTTTTCTCTTTATTTCAGACTGTAATGCAAATGTTCATAAGGGCTGTAAAGATTCCCTACCTCCATGCATCAAGGTAATCAATCTCCTGATCATTGATCAGTACATGTGTCTATCTTTTTTCTTGCTTGTATTCACTGTTGGAGATCTAACTCAAGTTTATTGCTACCTAAATTTCTAATGTGATCACTGTCTTGATAACGTGACACCTGCTTAGCCTGGATGGTTATTTACTTAATTGTACAACTAGAGCAATGGAGGGAAAGCCTTCATCTGGCCATTTGGGTTGGTTAGGCTTTCTGTTGAGATCTGTGTCGCTTACCAGTACAAACCCTGAATATTTTAAATGAAAATTAGGGGCCAGGGAGATAGCTCAGTAGAATAAGGGCTTGTCTGGCAAGTGCAGGGGACTGAGTTCAATCCCTGGTTCCAAAAAAAAAAAAAAAAAAAGAAAAAAGAAAAAAAAATTAGAACAATGATTCTCAAATGTCAGCCAATGCCCCCATTGATCTGGAGAATCTGTTGCAACCCAGACTGGACCACACTCTCTGAGTTTCTGACAAGTTTCTCGGGCTTACTGGTGCTTCTGGGTCCCCACCTGGAGGTCACAGGATGGAAGAAATGCGCCCTGTCTCCAGGTCAGGCTGCACAGATGAAGGCCTCTGCATCTGGTCTACTCTGGTTCTATCAACAATGCATGTGCAAGTGCAGGACATGCCTCCCCAGGGAAATATGGAGTCATAAACTTGTGTGTTGACTGAGACACATAGTGTGGCAGGTAGCAGAGTTGAGAGCTGCCTTTGGAGGTGACATTTCAGTACTTCGGTGGTATAAGGGGTAGTGAAAGATAGAGCAAAATGAAAGGCAGCATCCATGGGAACTCTTCATGTAAAATAAATGAAATAACAAAAAATGGTGTGGATAAGAATCCTGTGTAGCTGCATGTGCATTGTTCTAGTTCAGTGGCGCTTTGATCTTACTTGATATGTTTCTAATAATTTCAGAAATTTCAAGAGAAATACAACAAGAACAAGCCACAGACCATCCTTGGAAGTGAGTGATGTGGAAAAATAACAAGAACTTTAAAAATTTTAATGCATAGCATACATTTTTCCATTGTAAAAACATCCCCTCCTTTTGTTTTCTGATTTGCCCAATTATTTCTTATTTTACTATATAGGTTTGGCATACTTTTTAGTTACAGAATGGGATCAGGAGGATGTCAATGTTCATGCCAGCCTAAGAGCTTTTGCACTGTATGAACTACTGTGTGATCTTTTGTGTTAGGGAGGGTTGTAGGAGAAAGTATTACCATGTTGCCTCAATTCTAAGGCACTGTCTAGTATTCCCAATTGATTTACTAACCTTTGATTAAAAAGGGATACTGCATGATGGGTGCATAATTTTATGCTTTCCTAGCCCATATTTATGTAGACAAATAATGCTACATTCTCCTTCAGATTCACAAGTTTTGGTAAAAAATCATCATATTTGGAGTCTATAGTGGTTTTTTTTGTGTGTGTATTTTGTACAGGATCTTACTTTGCAGCTCAGACTCATAGTGATCCTCCTGTTTTCAACCTCTCCAGTGCTGGGATTACAGGCATACACCATCAGGCCTGGACTCAGTCTCTGGTTCAGCACGCCCTGGTGGCAGGGCCAGTGCTGCATGTGGTGCCGGGGATTGAAGCCCAGTGCTGGCGCTTGCCTAAGCAGGCGCTTAGTCCGCTGAGCTATCTAGCTAGCCCTGGAGACTGTGGATTCTTATTAGCCCCTGTTGTGCGATACTATGGTGACTCGATGCTTTGGTGTCCTATAATCTCCTTAGCGCTCTTAGGACAACAGAGAAATCATAAATACTGTTGAATTTTGGTTGTGTATGTTTTTTAAGTTGGTGCTTCTGGGATTTTTTTTTTCTTTATTTACACTTTGCTGCAATCTAAAAACGTTTCCCTTGTAAGTAATCGGTGACCTTCAGTAGTTCTTTGTATCACATGCAAGAATGCAGAGTGCTAGCATTTCTAACACCTGACTGTGCTTGCTGGGAATTTGCAGTTTCTTCCACCTGAAGTGGCATTGCATGACATGCAGCAGAAATTTTAAGAACATGGTCACTTTCCATTGCAATGTGGTAATAAAGTGCAACTGCTACTTGAAGAAATACTTCCATTGGGACAATTAGGTATGCAGAGTCACACTGACACACTACTGTGTGTGATGACATAGAACGTTAAGTTCTTTAGCTAGTAACAGCTGTCACACCCTTGTTCTCTTATCTTGGCCTTAGAAGTCTCTTGACATCAGTTATGAAATACCTCTGAATTTCAAGAGGTTAGATATGAAAATAAAAAGCATCATAGGATGGGTTAAACACCATGTAATTTTCCTCTTTCCTTGGGCGTCATAAGAACGTCTCACACATAGTTAAAATCCTTTGCACTACCCTGTGATGTGTGTAAGTATTTCCCCCTTTTGCTGAGGAACATGGATGTGGTAGCTGTAATATTCTGGTACTGAAATATTTTCTGGGAGTCATTGATATTATGCATCAAATATAAACGTATCAATGCCCAGAACATTTTAAAGCTGACCAGACAAGTAGGGGAGCTCTAGTCTGTTCTCAGTTGGGTTTACAGGTGTCTCTGGCCTGAGGTTTTTTTAACATGAAGAATAGATTCTCAGCATCACTTCATTCCATTCTTGTGACTTGTGCTCCCTGTGCCCGCTTGTTTACACTCGCCATGTGTGCTCTAGTAACAGTGCTAATGACACCTTGAATCTATTTAAAGCTACCTCTGAGGAGTACAAGCAGTGGTTTATGGGAAAGCTGGTCAGTGTTTCCCCATACCATTTCCTTGTTTGCTGTCTTGTCCCAAACACCTGCAATTCCCAGGTGGAGGTGGAAACAGGCCTGCCACACAGGTGTCAGGACGCTTTGGAAGGAAGGGACGTTTAAAGCAAGTATCAGCTTGTGGTAGGGAGACCAGTTTTAGGGTTGGGCATGCGACATATTAGAATTGGCTATTTGAGGACTTAACATCTGGCTTTGAAGGGACTTTTCTCACTTGTAATTACTGTCCCCTGTGAGAACCACATGCAGGTCCCACTCTGATTTCCAGGTTCTTCAGCTAGAGACATCCCACTGTCTGGCCTCTCCTCACACTCCTCATCTTCCATGCCTGTTGGACTCCCAGCTCAGAGGAAGGAATCTGCGGGGCAGGTCCCGCTGCTATCCAGAAGTGTTCCAAGTACTGCCCTGGAAAGGTAAGTCCATAGGCTCAGTGTGGTATTCGAGCCTCATGGCTCAGAGAGGCTGCTGGTGCTAAGCCCTCTTTCCTCCCTCCCTCCCAGCCTCAGGAGGTCAGCCACATCCTTGGAGTCTGAGGGTGATGGGAACAACAACTGGAGAAGCAGGTCTCACTCTGATGAGCTGCTGCAGTCCATAGGCTCTTCTTCCTCCATGGAGACTTTCATAATGGAAGGTGAGGAGAAGATGTGTTTACATTTACTTATGTTTCTGTGAGCTTTTGCTGAAATGAATATTTTCTAAGGGAAGAAAGACCGAAGCACATTCTTTTGTTCCATATGAAAGAGGTGTGCCTTATGGAGTCCATTTGGCATAGGCTCTACTCTTAAAAAGAAAGAGAACTCTATCCTTAAAGAAACAAGCAGAGAGTAATCCAGGAGACGAGATATAACTTTTAAGTGGACATAGTTCCAAGAGAACAGGGTTGTGATCAGTGAAAGGAATGAAAGAATTGTGTGTTCATTATTGAGAAAAAAAGATTTTACAGGGATTGATAGACCAGAATGGGACCCTTTATTAAAATATGAACTTTAATTGATGAAGACCAGTTTTGCCTAGATTTCTGAGAACAGTGGTTCACCCCATTTGTTACCTCCTACTTCTAGGGGAATAAAAGCATTGTGAAAGTATATTATGTGGGATGGAATTTAATGTGGGGAGTTGCTTTTCATATCCAACTTGTATCAACAAATGAAAGAAAACCAAGTGGAAGAAGAAAGGGAGGACTCTGGCTCCAAAACCTGCTGCTTTCAGTCTGCTGTCTGCCCCCTTTCGCTGCTGGGAGCTTGAATCTGTCTCATGAGCGCAGTTCAGGGGGAAGAGGATTTGGTTTTCCTGAAGGGCATTTGCATTTGCGTGTCTAATTCTGCCAGAAAAATCTGCACTCTCTTGTGATTTAAATCCTTAAGTTCTGCTGTGTGGTTTGCCAACTCCAGTGCAAATCAATGGGACCAGCTCAAAGTTTAGATTTGAGAAAGCAGGCAGAAGAACCTGGAGCAAAGCAAGTGGGGAGCGAGAGTCCATGAATGCATTGTGCTGGCTAAAGCTTCCCTAAAATAGGAGTGAAGGAGAGGAAGCCGAAACTAACAAAAGAACCTTAAGGTCTCGCTCTCTCTCTCTGTCTTTTTTTTGGTACTGGGAATCCAAACTCGTAACCTGAGGCTTGCTGGGGAAGCCCTGTGCCACTGAGCGATATCCCTGTAAGGTCTCTTTTCTTCCCCCATATACACAGTCCCTATTTATTGTTTTTCTTACTACGTATTATATTAGTTCTGTTTTATTGGTACATGTTTTCAGTACCTAGTGATGTCTGCCCTCATTATTCCCTTGCTCAGAGTCTCCTCGGTAAGGCAGCTAGGGCCAGGATAGGCCAATCGGGGTTGGCAGTTCTGATCTCTAGTTTGCAAGGTGGATCACTTTTTCAGTTAGGTCTTAATTTCAGAAAAGCATGGTATATTCCACATTTTCATATCTGTTAGTGGCCACATAGGCTGCTTCTTCACTTTCACAAAAGCTGTCCAGATCTGGACCATTTTATCATTCAGCTATTCCAGCTCCACAAGCGTGTGCATTTGGGCCAGGTTGTCTCTGTCCCCATAGGTGTGGTGAGCGTGTGAAAGCTGTGAACATGGTACTAGAAAGCTCTGTTGTTCTGTGTCTGACTGTCCTTCCGGCCTTCGTTTTTCACACGCGTCAGATGTCATGGACTCGTCCGTGTGGAGCGACCTCAGCAGTGAGGCCCAGGAGTTTGAAGCAGAGTCGTGGAGCATGGTGGTGGACCCCTCGTTTTGCAACAGTCAGGAGAAGGATGTCATCAAAAGGCAAGATGTCATTTTTGGTAAGTATTTCCAGTGTTCCCTGGGACTGAAGCAGAGTGGTGGGTAGAAGGTGACATGCGAAGTCACACAGACCTAGTTTCAGAGTTGTTGCTCTGCGCTAGTTGCCTGGCCACAGCCAGTTTGTCTCATCCACTTTACCTCAGTCTCTCCATCTGTATCGTAGCAGAGATAATGACACTCAGGTTCGAAATGTTGGCCTGGGGCTTACGTGGGGTACTATGCGACTCTGTTTACATACTTCGACTCCACAAGTAGGAAGAAGTCTCTTCCTCTTAAATAGAGAAACAGGGAGGAAGAGGAGACGAAGGACTCTGCAGGAACACCGGGCTTTCTGACACCAACAGCCATCCTCTGTCATCTCTGCATGTTCCATCTCTTGTATTTCTGTAGCAGGGTGAATGCTAATCTAGTCCATAGGGACATTCATGTGTCTGCTCACACGTTTCAGAGCTAATGCAGACAGAGATGCATCACATCCAGACCCTGTGCATCATGTCTGAGATCTTCAGGAAAGGCATGAAGGAGGAGCTGCAGCTGGACCACAGCACCGTGGATAGGATTTTCCCCTGCTTGGACGAGTTGCTTGAAATCCACAGGCACTTTTTCTACAGCATGAAGGAGCGCAAGCAGGAGTCTTGTGCTGGGAATGACAGGAATTTTGTGATCAACCGGATTGGAGATATTCTGGTACAGCAGGTAAGGAGGGCTTGAAGCCCTTGCCTTCACTAACCTCAAAGTTCATTGTTTGGTTACTTTTCTCATTGCTGAGACAAAATACCTGACACTCTCAAGTTAGAGGAGGAGAGTGTTGTTGGTGCACCCTGGGGAGAAACAGCAGTGGAAATGAAGAAGAGATAGACAAGAAAACAAGAGCTGGGTCAGGTGGAGACCCATTTGCCTGATTGGCAAAGGACCCCAAGAATAATAGTATGGGCACTTATTTATACCTTTGCAAAGTTTGTTTCAAAGTTCAATACGAACTTTGCTTACAGGGTTGCCTACTGACTAATAACTGACATTGATTAAACAGGATGCTTTTTTCAAGACTGAGAGAGCTTGACTGCTTTAGGCACTGTGGCCTTGCCCTGCCCTTACACATCTGACTGATCTCCATCTTCAGTGGCTCCCAGCAAGGTTTATTTGGGTTCACACTGTGTAGAAATTTCAATCTCTAATTGATAGGCTCCAAGGCAGGGTGGCATGACAGAGGGGACATCTCAGAGAAGAAACAGTCCATGGCAAGGGTAGTCAGAAAGCAGCAAGCAGCAGCCGCCTGCCTTCCACCTTTCCCTGTACATCCTACCCAGGATAGAAGCCTATAGATTGGTGCCACCCACACCCAGGGTAGGGCTTCCCATCACCCACATCCAGAACAATGCTGAACCAATCAATGGGTTAATTTAGTTGTCACACACCCTTAGTCCATATTCACCTGCCTAAGATTCAGTCACCTCTGAAAGCCCCACCTGTAGCTCACACAAGGCTTTGGGAGGACACCCAGATATAGTCCCTAACAGATTGTAACTTTTGACAGTATTATACAAACTAGTTAGCATAGATATACAGCTACTTTCTCTTAGTGCAATGAGAAGAAAGTTGTAAACTAATAGTGTTTAGAGAAGATATCATGTCTGCATCCTGTACTATGAATAACTACTACAAAGACAACAATATACAATGTATTAATTATTGTAACTGTCCTACTAACCTGCTTTGAAAATGTCTCATTGCTACTTCTTTCTCAATAAAATTAATATGTATATATGTTAAAAAAAAAAAAACCCCGTGAAGAAATAGAATGGAGTTCATGAAATCGTTGCCAGATGGACTTGGCTGGTTTTATTTGATGTCGATTGATGTTGATTAGTGTTAGCCATGTCAGAGAGCTCCGAGGAGCCAGTGAGGGACTGCTGTGTGTCTTAGGACCCGGCTGGATGACCTGGTGCTCCTGCAGGAGTCACCATCAGGAGTCACCATCATGAGTGAATCCCCTGGCAAACATTCTGCTTAGACTCTTTGGTGTGAGGGGACCAGTGATCCCCCAGTGGGCTATGATTGTCTCACTGGTGTCTCCCAGACAAATGCTGGCTTGAAGAGGTAGAAGACAGACTTACTCTCACTAGGGCTCTAGGATTCATGTCTAGGGAAGGAAGCCATTGGGACTTCTTCATGTAGCCTAGGGATTAGTTTTTGTGGATTGTATGGTTTGTAGCTGCTTCCCCAGTGTCTTCTCATCCTCTGGTTTATCAGCTTTTGCTCTAAAAGATTTTGCTTTTGGTATTAAGTCTGAGAACTTCTGGTCCAGCCATAGAGCTCAAAGATTTGTCCCATTTTCTTCTAAAAGTTTATAGTTTACATTTAAATCTGTGTTCCACAGATTTTTTGTAAAAGAAAATGCTATGAAATTTAAATTTAGGGTTTTTTTTTTTCTCCCCTCTGATTTCTGTTTTTGATGTATGGATGTCCAACTGTTCCAGCACTACTTTTTATTGGAAAGCCTATTATTTCTCCATTGAGTTGTGTTTTTATCTTTGCCAAAAGTCAGTTGAACATTCTTATTTCTTTTTTGTCCCACTGTCTGTTTCCATGTAATCTTAAATTTCTCTGTCTCTCCTCTGTCTCTGTCTCTGTCTCTGTTTCTCTCCATCTGAAGGAGTTCTTTATTCTTCTAAAAATTATATCAATACTTTATTTCTGTTGCCACCCAAATACATTCTAGGAGAGTATTTTCTATATTTATAAAAAATACTTGCTGGGATTTTTTTTTTTTGGGGGGGGACTGGGGATTGAACTCAGGACCTTACGCTTGCCAGGCAAGTGCTTATTCTACTGAGCTATCTCCCCAGCCTTCTTGCTGGGATTTTGATTAAAAAAATTACATTAAACCTATGCATCAAAGTGTAGAGAAGCAATATTTTTGCTATGTTGAGCTTTCCAGTGCAGGCATGTGGTGTAGTTCTGCACTTACTTAGATCCTTGAGTTCTTTCACGGTCCCTGTGTGGTTTGCTGCATGTAAGTCCCATACGTGTTTGGTTAGAGTTTTAAAAAGCAACTGTAAGTGGTTTAAGGATCATCTTTTGAGACCTACTGACCCCACACATAGGTAAAACTGTAAGCAAAGATGGTACTATCAGAGATGATGGTGAACATTTTAAATACTTTTCAAGGAGGGATGGAAGTGTCTGTGGCAGTGATCTATATGAAAGTGTGGATGTAGAGCTTTCATAATATAAAATTTACCTTGCAGATAAGTCTGCCAATTCTGTCAGTGCCATTCTGTGACTCCTAGGATTTTTTTCTTGTGCACATTTTTCTATGCAGACTTTTCTCAGGTCAGCTATACTGAAGCGTTCAGGCTTTCTCTCTTTTTCAGTTAATGAATTGACATTCTGGCCCTCATCTTTCTCCTTTCATCTTGGCGAAGGTTGGCCTTTTAATCTATCATGATGAATAAAAAAAAATCTATCATGTTGTGTGATCATTGAATGCATAAAAATATCTAAAATACAAATCAGAAGGATGATACTATAGGAAAAAAAAAAACCCCAAGGAAGAATAATAGAGGACATCCCATGTTTTTCATTTGGCTATAGATGATTAGCATAATAGTATATTATATTGTATCATAATATAATCTTACTAAGTAGACTCATCATTCAGCAAGTTTCTTTTATGTTCATTTTATTTTTATTTTTTAAAATATACAATAACATTTATTTTATAAAATCTAGTTAAAAGGATAGCTCTGCAAATCTTAAAAGTAATTTTAATTTTAAAAAATTAAAAAAAATTTTTATTGAGAAATAAATATGAATGAGACAATTTCACAGCTGATTAATAGGACAGTTTTGATAATCAATACACTGTACATTGTTATCTTCTTAGTGGTTATCCATAGTATTAGAAGCAGACAGGATATTCTGTCCAAACACTGTTAGTACACCTCTTTCTTCTCCTTGAATTAAGTGAAAGTAACTGTAAATTTATCCTAATTATTTTGTATATATAAATACAAAATGATCATTCCTTTGTATCTTTTTTTATTGTCTGTCAGAGGTGAATATTCTATTGGCATCTAAATACTATAGGTGTTTGAATTCAGCTAAACAATCTAACACTGTTTAGCAGTCTATAATATTAGTGGGTTGTCCTCAGAAGTTATTGACTTGAGCCTTTTATAGCTCATCATATTAATATGACTTTACTTTATATTAAAGTATTTATTTATTTATTTATTTATTTATTTATTTATTTATTTATTGCAGAACCGGGGATTGCACTCAGGCCCTTGAACTTGCCAGGCAAGCGCTTATTCTACTGAGCCATCTCCCCAGCCCCCTTACGTTCATTTTAAAAGTCCCTTGGCAGGGCCGGCCAAATAGCTCAGTGGATTAAAGTGCGCCTGCAAACAGGTGCAGGGTCCAGGGGTTTGATCCTCTGGCCCACCATGCTGGCCCCAGCCCCGGAACACGCTGAGATGGTAATTGAGACTGTACGTGGTGGTGCCTGCCTGTAATCCCAGCACTTGAGAGGCTGTAAACAGGAGAATCACTGTGAGTCCAGTCTAGTAGTGAGACCCTGAACACTCAGTAGACCCTTCCCTAAAATACAGAAAAAAAAAAGTTGAAAGTCCCAGGGGAAGAGAAGTAACTGTATTCAGAACTTTCATGTTTGTTCTAACTTTGCAAAGAATATTTTAAGATATATTAAAATTGCATGTTCTTTTCTATGTTTAAAACCTACTACATTTATAAACCATTACTAAAATGTTATTCTCAGTTTTCAGAAGAAAATGCAAGTAAAATGAAAACGATCTATGGTGAATTCTGTAGCCATCATAAGGAAGCCGTTAGCCTCTTTAAAGAACTCCAGCAGAATAAAAAGTTTCAGAATTTTATCAAGGCAAGTATTTTAGAATTTGATTATAAAATGGTCAACCAGCACGGGAAATAGTTTATGCTTGTGTCTCGTGTGATTTAGACAAGCTTCATATCTAGGTTCTTGGTTTTGACGGAAAGACAAGGAAGTGGTAAGTTTGTGGGAAAGACAGAAAATCTCTTTTCTATGTTACGTATTTCTCCAGAATCTTTTCCTTTGGTATCTTATATCTGTGGGATCATGTCCTCTAAACTTTTGCGAAGATTTACAATATTCTGGGAAGCTGTTTTCACTCCCTGACAAGTTCTGTAGCCGAGAAACCAAAGTGAAAGCAAATATACATTCCACCCAACCTCTTTCAAATTAGTTTCAGGTATTTGCTTTAAAATTAGAAGCAAGTCCTTGGCCTCTTATGGTTTCATCTGTAATATACATCTCTGAAGAGTCTGTACTTTATATCTAAATGAATTAGCAATAATCTTTGATGCCCTCAAATCTCAGTGTTTAACTCACGACATTACATTCCTTCAATTAGGCTTTTACAAGATTCATGTACTATATATGGTGACCATCTCTTAAATCTCCTTTAAATTGAATATTCTTTTTCATTTTTTTCCCCTTTCCAGTTTATTTGTGGAAGAAATTTGTCTTATCATACTATCTGATTTCTAAATTCTACCTAACATTTTAAGAATGCTACCATGTCCTTTCTGTCTCTCTCTCTGCATATCCGTGTGTGTTCAGGATGTAAAATCTTAAGGAATATTTTGGAATTTCAGCAAAAAGATGCCCCACCTGGCCAGCACTTTGCGTACTATAATGCGTAATAACAAATGTGACCAAAGTCATCCTGGCCAAACAAATAGCAAACTGCAAACTCATACTGAAGATTAGATTTTGGGGCCGGGGAGATGGCTCAGCAGAATAAGCGCTTGCCTGGCAAGCGCAAGGGCTTGAGCTCAATCCCTGGTTCCACCAAAAAAAAAAAAAAAAAAAAAAAATTAGATTTGATTTCTAATTATTCCTCAAAAAGAAATGTTATTCATGATTTCTGATAATATGCTCAGTTTTGGAGTTAATTACAAATACATCGGAGTAACTTGCAATTTCTTAAGATCTTGGAGTTTTGAAATATTGAAATTAACAACAAAGTATAACATTTAGTGAGGATAAAAGCATCAGCTTTTAATCAATGATGTTAGCTCTGAAAAGAACTGTATTGTTGGAGATTGTATTACAGCAATGTGTAATACAAAAATCATGCTTGAATACCTGTTATGTGTACCATTTCTAATGTCATATCAACTGTTACTATTCCCACTTCAGAATAAATTTTTCTTTATTTTATTACATTTACACATAAAAAGTACATACGAATAAGAATTTGTGTATATAAAAATGTATTTACTTTTAAGCTCCAGAATAGCAATCTTTTGGCCCGGCGCCGAGGAATCCCAGAGTGTATCCTTCTGGTCACTCAGCGCATTACAAAATACCCTGTTTTGGTGGAAAGAGTGCTGCAATACACAAAAGGTAAGTGACGACCCCTGGCCAATATTTGCCTTTCTTGTCAGTTTTAAACATAGCCAACATGGATCCCTGGCAACACAGGCCACGCCGGCCCTGCCCCCAGGCGTGCTGAATGGGTGACAGAGTCCAGGCGTGGTGGTGCACGCCTGTAATCCCCACACTAGGGAGGCACACATCAGGAGGACCACTGTGAGTCTGAGCTGTGTAGTGAGACCTTGCACAGCCCAAAACAAAACAAAACAAGGCAAGACAAAACAAAACAAAAAACAAACAAAAAATCCCTTAGACATAGCTAAGGTAGGTTGAATACTAATAATGTTTGTGTCCTCTGACTAGTCAATATTTCTAATATTTGGAAACTGTTAAGGTCCTAGATTCGGGATTTACTTTGAGAAATTATCTTTTGTAATACAGCTTTCTAAATAGTCTGAATTCCTGTAAGTGGCCCAAACCAAGCAAGCTTCTTCCATCGTTGATCTTGCCTTTTCACATATCGGAACCTTTTTAATACCTCCTCTACTTGTTACTTTCTTAGCAGTCCGATGAGACAGATGTGATGCTATTGATGTTGTCATGTCACCAAATGTCAGCTCTCCCAAGCAATGAATTATCAGCCTGAGACTGTTGTATGAAAAAGAGTTATTCTAGTCCCATCAATTAATCAAGTTCCAGGAGTAACATTTGAGCATCTTTTTTTTTTCCCCATAATTTTATTGAGAAACAAATAGCAATGAGACAGTTTCAAACCAAATTGGTAAGACAGTTTCAATAATTAATACATTGCATACTTTCCTCCCAGTGGTTAATTGCTGTACAAGATTGAGCATCTTTTAAGAACTATTCATATGACTGGACTGTGGGCTCCTTGTAGGATTTATGAGGCCAGTGTCTGTCTGGTTGATAGCTAGATCTTCAATGCCTAATGCAATATCTATCAGTCAGTAAATTCATGATGCTACAATGGGTGAATAAATGCAAACATCTAATCCTCTAGCTAACTTATTGATCTTGATTAAAACATTCTTAGGATGGTAGTGTGTTATGCCAGCAAGGGCAATAGTCTTGACATTGTGTGTAGCTGCGTTGTCATTGTGTATATTTGGTTCTGCTCCTCCATAGTTGGGCAGATTAATAAACTGAGCTTCGGTTTTCCCTATGACAAAGTAGAAATAATAATAATCTTAGCCTAGAGATGAGAATCACAGGATTAAATGAGATTGTGTCAGAAAATGCCCAGTACAGAGCTTGCTATGAGCAAAGTGTTTGTAAGTGCACACTGGGTCTTTGCTATTGTTGTTTTTGCCATTATTATTATCACTTCATTTCAAGATCATTAAAATGGCATCAAGATCATAAATCTCCACCCTACAAGACTCATATGGGGCCGGGGAGATGGCTCAGTGGAATAAGTGCTTCCCTGGCAAGCACAAGGGCCCGAGTTCAATCCCTGGTTCTGCAAAAAAAAAAAAAAAAAAAGACTCATCTGCCAGCACTCTTTCTTGGAAGGGGTCTAGATAACATGCCTAATTTACTCTTTCCGTTTTTTTTTTTAAAGTCAGATTTAGAAGTAAGGCCAAGCAAAGGTGGTGGCATCTGCTCCTCACGGCCCATTTCATCGTTCTGTGTCATTTAACACACAGGAGAATGCAAAAATAATATTAAAAGAAGAGCTTCCTATTTTTTTTTTTCCTCAGCAGAATAATGAAAGCAATGTCGAGGCTTTTCAGTTCATATCATGTTTACATTCTCTCTGTGAGGTTTACCACCTCAATTCCAGGACTAAAATCTGTCAGATTGTATTAAGCAACTCTTGCTACTACTTCAAGTTCATTCAGGGTGCCAAACCCCTACTGAGAGGATTGGCAGCTGTAGAATCCCTTCTGTCAAAAGCTGGAAGTGTCGCGGTCCCCCCAGCATAGTCCACAGTGGCCGAGGGACACCCCTCCTCAGAGCAGCCCGTACCGATGTGCAGTCTCTCTTGGACTTCTGGGATGTTGGCGCTCATGACTTCTGTACCACTGCATTCCTCAGGCCTTGTTAGCCATCCCCTCCTCCTGGAGACCTTGTCTGCATGCACTCTTGAGGGTGCAGGGGTAGGGGTGTGGGCAGGGCCAGCATTTCTGACCAGGATCCAGTGGAAAGCTGATGCTGCTCCACTTTGAGGGGCCAGGCATTGCAAGACACCACCCGAGGACACTGTCCAACGACATTGAGCCTTCTCCTGGCCTTACCCATGTTGCCCTGTGACTGAAGTTCCATTCTCTGTATTCAGCTTGCCTAGAGATGAAGTAGGCTCATTGGAAATGAGATGCTTTTCAGAGCAAGCAGCTTTGTGGAGCTGTGGCCAGGCCATGAGGCACATTTTTTGATGAGCAGAGAGAGAATCTTCCTTGCACAGTTGCAGGTCAGGATCTGTTCCTTAGGGTTTTCTAAGGAGAGCCTCACAAATCTGTGAAGATATTTGGACTCGGAAATGTTTAGACCCTTTGGAGGACAGATCCCCATTTGGCTGGACTCCTTCTAAGAATGTGTTTCTGTGACTCCGCACTCCGGAGAACCCCTGGATTCTCTCTCAGTTTTTCTTCTCTTTCCTTTAGTGTATTTGCTTCCCATCATCTCGGTGGATACCAACTAGGTGACCTTCATCATCACCTAGGAAACAATTGTGAAATTCTCTTGCATCTGGAGTTTTTGGGTGCTGTTGCAGAAACTCTGCTAGGGTCTTTTCTTAAGGTAATTCAGGCAGGAGAGCAAGTGGCCTCTATTTTAAGGACTAACCACTAGACTTGGTTACTCTGTTTTTTCAGCATGGCTTACTTACCCATTTTGCAGTGTTGTGGTCCCTTGAAAATATTTCAATTTTATCACAATCAGAAGGCAAAAGAATAAAATGTTACATCAAAGAAACATATTAACTATGATATGAATATATGCATGTCTTTGCTAATATGGCTATCATGTATAGCATTGAATATTTTCATGGAAGAAGGAACCCAGGAAGGCAGCAGGGTCCAAGGCTTCTCCAGACCACCCACCACCCTGTGGCTGCACAGCTGGGTCAGTCTTCAGAAGCTGTTTGCGGGAGTTACTTGGTAGCCTGTGCCTGGGAGGGAGGGAGCACCTTAATTTGGGTCACGTTCCCCGCTGCAGGGGAAATGTCATGCTCAGCCTTAAAACTCCAATACCATACTGTCAATGAAGTCACATCTACTGATGCAAATATTCTATAATAAATATTTTAATGGTTCTTCTTTGGCACGTGGGTAAGGCAGATATACAAGTGTGAATTTAATCTAACATTTTTCTCATGGGATTTCTGCTATGTGGATTTCACTAAATCTAAAAACCAAATACAAAATGTGTTCTCTTGCCCCTGGGCTTATTGTATGGTGTTCTTTCTTTCTTCTTCTTCCCATGCAGAAAGAACGGAAGAACATAAAGACTTATGCAATGCTCTTTGCCTCATTAAAGATATGATTGCAGCTGTGGATCTAAAAGTCAGCGAATATGAGAAAAAACAAAAATGGCTTGAGATCCTGAATAAGATCGAAAACAAAGCATACACGAAGCTCAAGAATGGCCATGTGTTTAGAAAGCAGACTCTGATCAGCAAAGAAAGGACACTACTTCACGATGGCCTTGTTTACTGGAAAACTGCGACAGGTCGCTTCAAAGGTACCACCGCTCCAAATGAGCCAGTTCTCCTACCTTATCCACTCATCAGAGGATGGAATTTTTTTTTTTTTTTTTTTTTTTTTTTTAATGCATTTGGTACAGGGTCTCACTATGTAGCTCGGACTCATAGTGATCCTCCTGTCTTAGCCTCCCCAGTGCTGGGCTTTCAGGCATGTGTCACCATGCCTGGACTCAGTGGCCAGTTTAGTGAGCCCAGGGGCAGGGCTGGCTTAGCACATGGTGCCAGGGATCGAACCCCTGTCCCTGCGCTTGCCTGAGCAGGAACTTAGCTGAGCTATCTCACTGGATTGTTAAAAACAAGAAGGTCCAACTTGCAAGCAGACAGACACACCCTTGGTTTTTTGGGAGAAAGTGTAAACTGTGAAATTCAGCAGGCAAATTGGGAACTTCCCCAGGCAAATGTGGCTGGTGGTACAGATCTCTGAAGGAAGTTCGCTGCTCTGAGCCAACCCTTTCCTACGTGCTTTTACGAATCTGCACGATTGCTGTCTAAATCAAAGCACAGAGAGTTCTGCTAATTGTGGGCATGGAGGTGCTCTTCTGGCAGGTGTGGTGTGTCGATGGCAGAGCAGTGCCCCTACCCAGCCGGGGTCTGCAGTGCATGAAGGCAGCCTAGGCTTGTCGGACCAGGGAAAACCCTGCCAATATCGTCTTTGTGTTTGTGTCAGGCATCTGCGTGCACGCTGGCACCATATAAGCACTTTCTCCGTGGTGCTCTCCACTGAGGGTGTCACCTGGACTCTGTTAATGTGGTTAGAGTCTGAAACAGTTTATTTCAGTTCTTAAGGGTGGATCTGTAGGTAGTACCTTGCCAGACTCAAGCTTTTTTATTTTTATTTTTTT